AAAAAACAACAATGCCCCCCCAAAAAATATGGGCGTGTAGGGTTTTTTTAGCCCTACACGCCCTTTTTTTTTTTTTCGCTAAAATATGAAAAAACAAATGTTGCACCAAACTTGGCTGGTCGGCCATGGCCGAACCCGACCAATTCAGTCGTCGGCCGTGACCGCGGCCGATTTTTCATCCCCGGTCATGACCGGGCGTGCAACATAGCCCTTAGTTGCTCTTGCGCCATGTGACGCCTCGATTGTAGTTTTAGTTTTTTTTTTTTTTTTTCCGTTGTCTTTGCCAACGATTACGTCTTCAAGTGGCTGAAAAGCCACGACTCTGGTGAGACAGACCCGAGTTCGAATCAACGAAAAATTTGAAATTTTTTTTTTTTTTTTCATTTCTTGATTATGCGTGTCATCCTTGCGCAGGGGTCACTTCCAACCTGCGCGGCTGATTCTCAGCCACGCGATCTTCATGATCGAACAGTCGAAATCAACTGTGCCGACAACAATCAGGGTGGGCAACTCCAAAAGGAGTCAGGCTGGTAGTGCGGTTCTTGGATTTGATCATAGTGTCCACTGGGTGAGAGTCCTACTCTGTATCCTACTGGGCTAGCTCGTATGACAGTAGTGATAGGAGCAACTTTTCCATACGAAGAGCTTGCTCGATTACTTCTCCTCATGTTGTGGCCTTGCAGGCCCTGCCTGCCTGCGGCTCTGCAGATCTTGTCTGCCTGAAGCCCCATAGGCTTGGCTGGCAGGCCCTGCCCTGTCGGTTGGCCACGTGACCTCGACATTGACCTATCAACTTTCTGGCTCGATGTCAACCCCCGCGGCCCAGGAAATAAAAACCCTTCTTCCTATTCCTCTCGTGTCACGGTCCCATACCCGGTGCCCTCCTCATTTTAGCCTACTTAGGCCCTGAATCGCGCGACTTATTTTAGGTAAAGTAGGTTTAACTTTAGCGTTACCATGTCCGCACGTTCCTTCGGCTTCGACAAAAACGAAGCATTGCTAGTTACTGTTGTTACTCTCGGACGCCTAACTAAAGCTCGAAAAAAGTTTAGCCTCTCAGTCACATGTCAGGTCTGAATAAACTCTTGGCAACGTCAGTCTCATCAAGTCCTTGAATCCAACGAAAATGTCGGACAACGTCTGCCGTTTAAGAACCCCGGCAAATACCCTTGTCAGGGTATTTGCCCCGACAATGTGCATGGGAGCCGGGGGGATGGTTTAGCCCACGAGGTGGACGAAACCTGAGTGGCAGGAACACTCTACGGGTGCACCATCCGCCAACCACGATCATCGGTAGGAACTGAGGTGGAGCATGCCTGTCGGGGCCCGTGAGGTGCAGGACCAGTCAAACAAATTTGCCAAAGTCCTAAATGTACCAATTGTGTGTCCTTTTGTCGGCAACCTGTGTGGCTGTGGGACAAGGGAATTTGCGGTCACTAGCACTTGCACTATTTGTGGATGGCACCGTGCGACTAGCAGAGTACCAAATCGCCATTGTTCCAGACGATTAGGGTCTTGTCCTATCTGAAAAGGGTACAACAGTGCGACTCAAACCATGCCCGCTGGGGAACCGAAAGATGGTGAGTCGTGCCTGGGCGCAGGGGGACAGGCGCTCCAGGGCGGAGACCGCAATGTGCGGCCGGTCACATGGAACCCTTTTCCACTTCAGTCTTCAAAGTTCTCATTTGAATATTAGTCACTACCACCAAGATCTGCAGTGGGACCCGCCTCACCCAGACTCACGCTGCTGGATTCGTAGCAAGCCACGCACCGTCCTTCGAGACTAACCAATTTGGCACGAGAGTTGCTACCCACTCAACGGATTTCGACTTCCATGACCACCGGCCTGTTGCCTATATCAATCAACGCTCTCTGTGGTGTTTGGGTTAGCGCGCAGGTTGACACATATGCGCTGAGGAGGAGGCTCCTAGGGATACTGGCAAAGAAATCATTCGTCGGCCCTGGGGATAGGGGCGAAGGACTTATTGATCCGCTGTCGGTGCGAATACCCTTACAAGGGTATCCGCCCTGGTTTTTGCAAGTGACAAAAAGTAGGTTTGATTTAAAAATTAAGTATACCGCACGAGGCGCGCCTGAGGCTATGGCTTATGTTGACTAGAGTAGAGAGTGTGTGGGCGCGCAGACTTAAGGCGAGCATGATCTGTTTTCCCCCTCATAATCGTGAAAGTCGGCGTTGGTCACCGGCTAAAATTTTTATTTATGATCAAACTAGAATTAAAAAGGTTATGTCTCGTTTGTTTGATGCGCTTTCCTGTGACTTGTGCGTGCGTGCGGAGAACGACATTGACAATAAGGAGGCTTTGAAGTGTTATCAGTAGGCCGTGCGTCGCGCGGTGTCAGTTTATTTTAGGCGTCCTTCAGAGCTAAACTCAGACTTGGGCCTAGCATTAGCAATTATGGTGTCAGACTTTCATTAAAGATGTTCAGGGATCGAGGTCGAGCGGCGATGACGCGGGGAAATCGGAGTAGCATGAATGGACTAAGGGGGTTGAGGGCCCGGTAAGGCTATCCCCTATGATTTTTACTGCCGCAGGGCTGGATTATTATTATTATTATTACTACTACTATTTCCATTTTGGTTATTCTTTTCAAAAGTCTTACTACTATTTCCGTTTTGGTTATTCTTTTCAAAAGTCAGATACGGCATTGTGGACCAAGGGTGGTCAGAGAGTGTGCAAGCCGATGGGGGAGTGATCCTCGAGGGCTGAGGAGCCCGAGCGGAATGTGTTTCTGTAAGTGCACGGCTCGCCAGCCGCGATCTGTAGTGAGAAGTTTGAGTATGAGCGTGCTCATGGGATATCATTGGAAGATGGATTGTGCCTTGTACACAAGGAGGGGAGGCACCAAGTGGGGGGTCCGCGCGACACTATTCATGTAAAGAACCCCTTCTCACGTTAGTTCTAAAGCTCTTATCTGAATATTTGCTACTACTACCAAGATCTGCACCAGAGCCCACACCCACGGTTTTGTGGCTGACTATCTGCGTGGCCCAGTTTGTTGGGAGCCCAAAAAAGGGTCAGCCCTGCCTAAGCAGTGCAGGGCCAGATGGAACTCTGACAAGGACCCGATCGGCACGCGTAGGGAGGAGGGGCCTGTGAAAACTGGCCTACAGAATCGGTCGCCCAACCTAGGAGTCCCCTCGAAGCTTCGTAGGGAAACCGGACGCTGATTGGGCGCTGCGCCAGCGTAGGAAGAGATGGACGGGTTGAGGCTGGTAAAGACAGACGGGCGGGAAAAGGGGGAGGCGGAACTACCTGGGAGTTTGCACGGCATTACACAGCGCCCACAAACGAGGGATTGAGAGTGCCTAGGACAATACTTGGATCCAACGGAGGATGGTTGGGCCAATCAGAGAGTAGAAGAAGGAAAGGGTAAAGTGGCGTGCAAGGGAAGGTCGATAGTATTAAATGAGGGCAAGGCCGCATCAGCCCTCATAAGCTCCTAGGGTGGAAGAGTGCAGGCGGGCCGTAAGGGGCTGGGGATAGTGGTTATCCTCCTGATTAGACCGGAGCGCAACCGGTTGAATTTTCGAGCATGAACACACGCTGGGAATGTTATTGCAATATTGATGTTCGCGTGCAAAGAGCAATCCGCCATTGCTTGTCTTCTTTCTTTCTTCAAGTTCTTTGAATCCCATCCAATTAGAGATTCGTGCCAAGTAGTACTATGCTGTTCTTTGGTTGCTTCATGTTTCATAGCAGCCTTGCTCAGTTGGTGGCTCACTCTATTCTGGTCCTGGTTCAGTTGGCGGTTCGATCCAGCCTAATCATGGTTTAGTCGCCCATTCAAGCTCGAAGATGGCAGAAACTCCAAGTAAAGGGTGTCGTTCCTTCTTTTCCTTTTTTCCAAGGTAAGTAAACGCCTCATTCGCGGCCTTCTTTGTCCCTGTTGGCAAAAGCAAATGAATAGACCAATGTATAGACAATAGTAAGTCATGTATAAATACCGTCATCCTGAGAAGTATAAAGCATTACCCGCTCTCTCGTGAGAGGAACCTGTGTGATTCACTCAGCTTGACCATGATGCACTTCACAGATAATTCTACAACGATATCAAACACGTGTCTTATAACCCAACCATCCGCGCCGTGCTTTCCCACTCTCCAGCTAGAACGCTTAAAACAGCTAGTAGAAGCGCACTGCGTTTTGAACTTGGAGATCCATGAACTGGAGATTCATGAACAGGATGAACAGAAAGGCACACTTCTTACAATACCCGCACTTGACATCCGACCGTAAGAATCATGAGCAAGTTCAGGGCATCAGAACGCATAAGCTCTCTCGACAAATTTATCCCTCGCCAGCGCGCACACACTGGTGTCTTGCCTTCTTCGCAATTCTTTCTGATGTATCTGTCCGTCTACCTGTGCTCTAAATCCGGCCCTCTATCTCACGCGGACTCACGCTCGCGATTAGTGGTACTCTCTGTGTCGCTCTCCAAGTCTAAAACTTCGCGTTGCTCTTTCGCTCGCCCCTTTCTCTCTGTGTCCTATCGCGGTAATTTCTAATCCGTCTGTCTAGATCCGTTATCAAACTCGCTCGTTAGTATTGTGCGTATTTGCCAGCATCATTATACGTTCCTCTCTCTCCCGATATCCTTGCCTTCGTCGCCCACGCGCCTGGACGCAGCACGAACGCTCATTTGCGCTCTTCGCCACTCGTTGACCTTCTCTACCTCTGACTGTGTCTCATCTTGGCCTTCGTCTGCCTGCCTGCCTGTCCGGCAGTCGTTCTCCTTGATTAGCCATGCGCACGCTGAATTTGGTTAGACATGCTGTGTTCATCTCTCTCTCTCTCTCTCTCTCTCTCCTCGTCCCCCCCTCTCTCCCCCTCCTTCCCCTCCCCCCCCTCTCCCCCTCCTTCCCCTCCCCCCCCTCTCCCCCTCACTCCCCCCTCACGTGCGCGATTCCTAGTGCATGCATGAACGCACCGCGCCGCACACACAGAGCGCAGACTTGCCCTTGCTCTTCTGTTGTTGTGTCTGTTGCATTGCTCTCTGCCTGAACGCCTGCGTTGTTTTACGGACACGCGTGCAGTATGGATGATCATTCTTCGTATCCTGTCCTCCATTTCTCTCTTTTACTTCCGCCGTGTGTCTTGAGATGCAACCTAAACTTGCTCTTCTTCTTACTTTATCCCTCTGCCGCGGTTTCCTATCTTGGCCTTCTCTTTGCCTGCGTTATCGATAGATTTATCGACCGTCCGCCAAGACCATCCCCGCACGCTGCACACACTCGTGTAGCAGGAAGCACAACCAATCTTTCTCTGCTTCGCTGTATGCCTCCCTATGACTGTCCATGTCCTTGTCTGTCTGGCTGGCTGGCTGTCCTCCTTCGCTCGCGCGTGCGTGGGCACTTTCCTGGTCTATTTCTCTTCATGAACATGTCTTTGTCCTGGTCTTTACTTCGGTCAGTCTCTGGGTCTCCCACGCTTCTGCGGCTCTAGGCTTCTGTGTCCTTGTTGTCTTATCTTGATCTTTGCGTTTCTGTCTGTCTGTATGTCCATCCTTACGTTCGATCTTGGTCTTATTCGTTGTGTCTCACTGTATGCCTGTCGTTGTCCTGATCTCTGCCTATCCGTCGACCTGCGTGCCTATCTGTCTGTGTCTCTAGAGCGCTCCCTCTTTCCCGAGGGCACACATGCACTCAGTCATGCAGGCACACACGCTCCATGTCAGCTTTTGTTACGAATCGACGCCTGCGCTCGAACTTTTCTATCTTCGTCTTGTCTTGTAAGCAGTGTCCACGACTTTTCTCTCTCTCTCTTGATGCCAGCTGTGCGCTCTCGATTTTCGTCACCCTGCCGGGCTCTCTCTCTCTCGCGCGCGGGCGCGCGCGCTGTGTGTGTGTGTTCACGCGCGCGCGCGTGGCTCTCGAGCGCACACGCACACTTGCAGTTCATCTATACTCCGAGGCATGTGTCAAGACTACGCGCGCTCCAGACACACACGCGCACAGACACACACATACCCCCCCAAAAAAAAAACACAGACAGACTCAGACAGACACAGAGAGAGAGAGAGAGAGAGAGAGAGAGAGAGAGAGAGAGAGAGAGAGAGAGAG